CATTGGAGGGTATGGGCTCTGGTTTCTGATTGGCTGAGGTGTCAGAGCTTCAGGATGCTGCTTCTTGTCCCAAACTGCATCCTTCTGCTAGGCTGTTCTACTTTATTTGCTATAATAAATTACTCCATATCATAGCAATAAAATCTATAAAAGTAATGCCTGATGCTAATGTGCTATGAATGTCTCATCAGGAACTTATGAAAATTAGTCTAAAACTGCTCACCACATCCAAAATCAGAGGGACTCATTTCTCAGTCAATTAGGTATGAAGAGTGAGCCTTAAGCCAAGCGTGAAGGCTCTGATGGTACGCTTCCCGAGATGGAGGCCTATTTCTCACTACTCAGAGCTTTCACAAGATGAAGATATTTGTATAAAAATAGTGAGATCATTAGAGAAATGCAAATCAAAACTACAATGAGATATCATCTCACACCAGTCAGAATGGCCACCATCAAAAAATCTACAAACAATAAATGCTGGAGGGGGCGTGGAGAAAAGGGAACCCTCTTGCACTGCTGGTGGAAATGTAAATTGATACAGCCACTATGGAGAACAGTATGGAGGTTCCTTAAAAAACTACAAATAGAACGAACTACCATATGACCTAGCAATCCCACTACTGGGCATATACCCTGAGAAAACCATAACTCAAAAAGAGTCATGTAACAAAATGGTCATTGCAGCTCTATTTACAATAGCCCGGAGATGGAAACAACCTAAGTGTCCATCAACAGATGAATGGATAAAGAAGATGTGGCACATATATACAATGGAATATTACTCAGCCATAAAAAGAAATGAAATTGAGTTATTTGTAGTGAGGTGGATGGACCTAGAGTCTGTCATACAGAGTGAAGTAAGTCAGAAAGAGAAAGACAAATACCGTATGCTAACACATATATATGGAATCTAAAAAAAAAAATGTCATGAAGAACCTAGGGGTAAGACGGGAATAAAGAACAGACCTACTAGAGAATGGACTTGAGGATATGGGGAGGGGGAAGGGTAAGCTGTGACAAAGTGAGAGAGTGGCATGGACATATATACGCTACCAAACGTAAAACAGATAGCTAGTGGGAAGCAGCCACATAGCACAGGGAGATCAGCTCGGTGCTTTGTGACCACTTAGAGGGGTGGGATAGGGAGGGTGGGAGGGAGGGAGATGCAAGAGGGAAGCGATATGGGAACATATGTATATGTATAACTGATTCACTTTGTTATAAAGCAGAAACTAACACACCATTGTAAAGCAATTATACTCCAATAAAGATGTACAAAAAAAAAAGATAGAAATATTCATAAACCCCTGTAGTGCCAATCGTAATTATCCTACCTAAGTAGGAAATCAAAGGACCCTCTTCTCACTCATACACACACAAGTACTGTTAGGGAAACTGAGGCACTAAATTTTGTGGGGTAGAGCCTTGCTTAAAATATTTCATGAGGCTCTATGTGGAAAATAAATATTGATCATTATAATAATTAGCATTCATTACAGTTCATAATGTGTTCTGGGCACCTTACATACACTAACTCATTTAATTTTCTCAACAATGTTACAAAGAAGGTAATGAGCATGCCATTTTATAGACAAGGGAACTCAGTACAGAGCGGTCAAGAGAGTTGGGAAGTGGGGCAGTCTGGGCTCTGAGTCCTTGCTCTTCATCATTTTCCAAGTTCATCCTTCTTCAGTTCATGCAATAGACTCTGCACAAGCATCTATATTCCTCGTCGCCCTCAGAGGCTCATTTGCTGGAGGGCACACTGGTTAGAAGAACATTGTTTACAGACTCCTCATTCACTCCTTCAACAAAGACAGGGATTAAACAAGCATCTTGTATGTGCCAGGAACTGTGCTAGACCTCAGGAATTTACTATTTTGTAACAATGAAAATGGATTCTGTTTTTTTTTCTTTCTTTAGCAAATTCTGCTTTCTCAACTGGCAAAATATGAGTATTTTCCACGAGGAGACACAAACTCAGGATGGTGATGATTAGTTGTGTAAATAGAGCTGGAGCTCTAGAAGGACTGACAGCCATGTTTGATGAGCTTACGTATCATTTCTCCATCCAGGTATGGCACAAAACTTTTAGCTTCCGTGAAAAGCTTTAGTTTACAGCTGGCTAAAATTCAAGCAGTTTTGTGGGGTTTTGGGATAGTTTCCATGATTGGTATTAAATCAGTTTTAGTACCTATGTAACATCATCATAAAGCATAATTTTATATGATTCTTTATGTGAATAAAATATTTTGCAGTTGTGTATACATGGCCACACTTGAAACAAACTGAACATATAAATACTGACTTTGAAAAAGGAATCTATCACAGGATTAGTTTTTAAAGGGGTACTCTCCTTTATAGATAAATTACATTCTTATGTATATTAATCTTTAAGAATAAATCTATTGCGAGTTGCCATATGATCCTGCAATCCCACTCCTGAGCATATATCTGGGCAAAGCTATAATTCACAAAGATACATGCACCCCTAGGTTCATAGCAGCACTATTTACAATAACCAAAGTGTGGAAACAACCTAAATGTCCATGGACTGATGAATGGATAAAGAAGATATGGTATATATGGTGTATATATATATATATATATATATATATATATATATATATACAATGGAATATTACTCAGCCATAAAAAAGAATGAAATAATGCCATTTGCAGCTATGTACATGGACGGACCTAGAGATGATCATACTAAGTGCAGTAAGTCAGAAAGAGAAAGACAAATACCGTATGATATCACTTATATGTGGAATCTAAAATATGACACAAATGAACTTATCTATGAAACAGAAACAGACTCGCAGACATAGAGAACAGACCTGTGGTTGCCAAGGGGGAGGGGAATGGGGAAGGGAAAGATCAGGAGTTTGGGATTAGCAGATGCAAACTATTATCTATAGAATGGATAAACAACTGGGTCCTACTGTACAGCACAGGCAAATATATTCAATATCCGGTGATAAAGCATAATGGAAAATAAAGTAAATAAAACTGCTTTTCAAATAAAAAAGAATAAATCTATTGCATTAAAAAAGACCATCCTCTTAAGTAAAACTTGAGAGTAAAATTACAGCGTGGCAAACTGTGTGGTAAGAGAAGCTTCTGAGGAATAGGTATCTTCTGTAGATGCACCAGTAGTAAGCATTTCTAAGGACTCAAAACTTAGTATTGGGCCGTGGCACTCAGAGTGTCTTTACTGAATGGAGGCAGGAGGAAGAAAGAATGGGGTGGAAGCAGGGTCTCTGCGTGCAGCCAGCAAGCAGGCTCTACACTGCACAACTCCAAGAGGTACCACATTCATGGCCAATTCTGATGAAATAAATGAATGGAATGGAATGGACAGGATAAATGAGAGCAGGGTTAAAGTTACATGGGGGTTGCAGAAGCCACGTAGAGCCCCAAATACTTTTAGAATAGTAAGTTCTGATGAGCTCTCCCTTAATCTCAGCAAGCACAGCTGGTGACAGAACAGTGGCATACCATCTTTGCTTCGTAATGAACAAACCGAAAGGGGAAGCGACCCAGTTAAAGGCGTAAATGACTGCAGTAGCAACTAGAATAGGTCTGGAGTCTCCAAAGTCCCATTTCATCTTTCTACTTACTCTACAGAGGAACGTCAGATCCATCAGTCCTACTTTTCTCCCAGTACTGGGGGTTGGGGGAGATACAGGCTCTCATACATATGGCTTCTTGTTCTTTTTTTTTTTGCAGTACGCAGGCCTCTCACTGTTGTGGCCTCTCCCGTTGCGGCGCACAGGCTCCGGACGCATAGGCTCAGCAGCCATGGCTCACGGGCCCAGCCGCTCCGTGGCATGTGGGATCCTCCTGGACCGGGGCACGAACCCGTGTCCCCTGCATCGGCAGGCGGACTCTCAACCACTGAGCCACCAGGGAAGCCCTGGCTTCTTGTTCTTAACATTTATTCCATATTGTAGTACCACTATTTTTGGTGTTACATTAGATATATGTGATTTATTGGTTATTAATAAAACTTCATTTTCGATGTTAAATGTATATTGTCAAAGTTGAATTGAACAGCTCCCACTTCATACACCCACTTGAGAACTCTGTGTTTCTGCCTTAGCCACTGATGTAAATGCTGTCCGACAGTGTAGTGAGGCTCCCTTACGTAGCCTCATCACTCTCTGGAAGGGGCCACACCGTGGTCACAGATGTTGCTTCTAGGTCTCCTTTGGTCCTCATGCATTATTCATTTGCTTCATTTTCTTGGAGCATTTATGGATGAACTTAGTTTATGGATATTAAAAGCATAGAGACCTCAATTTCCATTCTATAAATTTCCACTGGTGCTCAAATTTTCAAAGCTGTTTTACCAAAGCAGTTATAAATCTAGAGCCTGAGGACAAGAGGGAATTAAACACATTTATAGGTCCTCCTTTTCTTTTTGGCTTGATTACCCAGGCACCTTGTACCATGGAGGAATTCAGGAAGTTACTAAAGGAAAAGACATTATTTCACTCTTGCAAAATGAATTATAGATGCATAGTGGACAGATGGGAAGATAGTCTCAACAGATTATTGTGAAAACTTAATCTATAGTATGTTAAAATGTAGAGAACCTCTATTCCTTCATATGCCACCTAATTATTCATGTGGGGTGTGTGAGACGTATTTATTGAGTACTTACTCGTTATTTGCCAGGGACTATACTAGGTATATAAATACGTTATTTTATTTAATACTCTGAATAACCTACAAAATGAGGATATTTTGCAGATACGCTTATTTCCATTTTATAGGTGAAGAAACCTGAAACTGAAGAGAGTTCCAGTAACTTGCTCCATTCACACAGCTATTCAGTGCTGCAGGGTGACTGGCTCCACATTTTTGTACCATTAGGTAGAAACTTGGCAATGAAACTTAAAACATTTGCCATGCCTGTAAACCATTTGAGAATACACTTTTCTAATGTCTTCCTAAAACTCTGCATTTTAAAAGATATCACTTGTACTTACAACTTATGGTTATTCCAAGTTCCACACTGTGTTTCTTAGGGAGCTTTACATGAAATGTTCCACTACTCGGGATGACAGACTCTGTAATTTCAAAACAAAAAAGAATGTGTTTAGAGAAGACTAGGAAGATTGGAGCACCAATCAATGAAAATGCATCAGGAATACTTGTATCATCACCATCATCTGTAGTTAAAGCTGTAGGAACTGACATAAAATCCTGATAAACTAAGCTCCTTGTGAAGAACAGACGTCCTACCCGCAGGCAACAGTGCATAATTCACAGCAACAGTCGAGTTCCATGTTTTTAAAGTGTGATTCAGACAGCATCTCCATCAAATTTACCTAGGATGCAAGTTAAAAATATAGATTCCCGAATCATCCCAGATCTGTGGGATCCGAATCTCTGAAGACAAGGCCTAGAAATCTGCATTTTAAACATATTCTCCAGGTGATTCTTAGGTATACTAAAGTTGAAGAACCAAAAGTAGTTATATTCTTTTCTCCCCCAACCATAGTTTTTGCAGAGTTTATTATTCAGCATTGCTTTCTTTTTTTCATTCATAGCTGGGGGAGATGGATTTCGGAAAAGATTTCAGTTAGCTGTGACGGTTGTTGATTTGGAGGAGGAGAGGTGTGCCTGAATTTGTAAGGTAAATGTGGAAAAGTACACTTAAAGATGTAGAAGCAGCAGTGATAGTCAAAATATCTCACAACCAGAATGGTCCTGACCACAAGCAACCAGACTGAGTGCTGAGCAGAGTTGGAACAAAGGGACCCAGGAGGTCCCACCGCACCAAGGATGACCCTCTAGTTTCTGGATCATGGGGACGTTTCAGGGAGGAGCAGGAGGGCAGGGGTCACTGGAACAGAGCGAAGTTGGGCTCAAATGTTGGCCAACCAGTAGAGAAGTAAGCTAATGTAGGAACAGAGAGGGAAGCGGTGTGTACTGCTCGACTCTCAACCTTGGATAGATCTACTGTGATTTTACCAGGGCGTGACCAGTATCCGAGAAAGAAAGAATTGCTACATATTCTTAAATATATTCTTAAAATTCCTCTAACAGTCTGGGAGGCCTTCAATTGGAGACAAGGTTAAAATGGAAATATCCTCTTAAGAGATAACATCTATTCACACTAAGTAGCTAATGACTATAATCCTTTCTTGAAGGTTTTAGAAAGGGGTAGGAAGGGTTGGCAAGAAACAAAGGAAACATTAGCATAAGGGGAGGCTTGTGGGATGTCGGAATGAAACCACTTTATCTGCTTCATTTTGCGCCAATCTAGCTCCCAAACCGCCACAAAGAATTAACTACAGCTGCTGTGATGTGGGTAGAACTATTCGGTCCTCAGGCCCCTAGTCCAATTTGTTAATCACATTTTTAACATGTTTTGAGTCTCTGCAAAGCAGAGGTGAAAGGTGGGGGTGGCCTCATGGAAGCAGAGTACTTCCTTCCTTCATCTGTCTTAACCTGCTCTTCCTGGCCTTTTCTACTTGCCCATGAAGAATTTAGGCAGTAAACCTTTTGTAAGACCAGAACCTGGGCTTCCCTGGTGGTGCAGTGGTTGAGGGTCCGCCTGCCGATGCAGGGGACACAGGTTCGTGTCCCGGTCCGGGAAGATCCCACATGCCGCGGAGAGGCTAGGCCTGTGAGCCATGGCCGCTGAGCCTGCGCGTCCGGAGCCTGTACTCCGCAACGGGAAAGGCCACGGCAGTGAGAGGCCCGCGTACCGCAAAAAAAAAAAAAAAAAAAAAGTAATAATAATAATAAGATCAGAACCTGATCTTCCAACTCAGAGTAACTGCCATAGACAAACAGGAGCACGCAGTAAAATTTTGATTTTCCTGGGCCCTCCAGGCTTCTAGAAAGTCATCTGTAAAGAAGGTTCCCCAAACTGCCCTGGTAAGTTTCAGCCAGGGCTGCTGGGTAAAGGCAAGTCTGCCCCCTCTGGCTTCTTCCTTCTTCCCAGTTCTTTCCTCATTTCGCTGGGGCGTGAGGGAATCTGTCGCCTTCTCCCACTTCCTCCTTCTCTTCTTAATTCTCCTGTCCTGTCAGGTGTGGCCCCTTGAGTGTCACAGATGTTGTCCTCAACTAAGACTAATCTAAGATGTGCCAGGAAGTAACAACATATATTTATTTGTTTATTTATTCATGAAGAATTTGTATCCTTCCCATTTCCCAGTCGGAACTTGAGATAGATAAAATTAGTTATTTCCCCCAGTAGATTTCAAAAAGACTGGCTAATTTTAATATATTGGGGCAGAAAAAGAGAAATGAGGTTAAGTAATAACCACCTCGGTATGCTTTACTTCCTTACTTCAGGTGCTCCAAGTATCACAAATATTTACTTCTAAAAGATCTCTCAAATCCTTCCTTTCATCTCTTCTCTGAATCTTTGTGAAGGCTAATTACTACCTGCTTCCCACCACCAAAAGAGAAAGTTTAGGAATTTGGAATTAGCATGCAGACTGGGGGCAGACAGGGTATTTGGAAGAGGCTAGTTTGGCCCATCCGCACCAATAGCCAGGCTGCAGAGAGAAGGCAGAAAGAAACAAGTGTACTTGAGGACAGTGTGAGGTCTTGGAGAGAGCCAGTGGTTAGCCTTGACAGCCCCTGGGTCTAGCTCTTCCAGGGGCTGCCTATTCCCTGTCCTCAAAGGCTGTGAAACACCAGTGTGCTTCCAGGAAATGCCTCTCCTGTCTAAATTAGCTTGAGTGCATTTCTGTGGCTTGCAGCTAAATAGCTTTGCTATTTAGAGAACTCATTTCATGTATGTTTGTTTTAGTGTTATCCGTTTTACGAAAACGTTCTCTGTGAAAGGGGAGGGGAGCATAATGTATGTATATGTGTATCCACGTATGTATATGACATCTTGCCCAAGATGCTATACAAGTGAGTCTTTGATTCATAAGGGCCTGAAAAACACAGATCTAAAATAGTTACTATAGAAACATTTTGCTTTACATTAAAAAAAAAATTATTTGTTATTTTTGGCTGTGTTGGGTCTTCTTTGCTGCGTGTGGGCTTTCTCTAGTTGTGGCGAGCCGGGCTACTCTTCGTTGCAGTGCGCGGGCTTCTCATTGCAGTGGCTTCTCTTGTTGCGGAGCACAGGCTCTAGGCGCGCAGGCTTCAGTAGTTGTGGCACACAAGCTCAGTAGTTGTGGCTCGCGGGCTCTAGAGCGCAGGCTCAGTAGTTGTGGCGCACGGGCTTAGTTGCTCTGCGGCACGTGGGATCTTCCCTGACCAGGGCTCGAACCCGTGTCCCCTGCATTGGCAGGCGGATTCTTAACCACTGTGCCACCAGGGAAGCCCTTGCTTTACATTTTTAATGTAGGGAATCTTGACCAAGATTAACATTGTTAATGACACTGAAGGAAACATTATCACTTCCTGGAAAACAGTAATAGATCACTTTTGACTACATAAGATTTGAAATATTTATAATGAATAAATATCAACATATGAATCTCTTTGATCAAGCTGTGGCTTCATTTTAATCTTAAATGTCAACATGATTTATTTTCTATTTGGTAATTTTCCCCCCCATACAATTACTTGGCTGTTAAAGCCAAGGCACGTTTAATTTGGGGTTTCTTAAGGAAATAATAATAAAGAGGAAAAAGATCCAATATTTGGAGAAACAACAGGTTTAGAGTAAGTAAACAGAACATTTATTTTCTTACACTCCCATGTGATTATTTTGTGCTTCCCTGGTTTTGCTTTATCTTTGTTAATACTGTAATTAAAAACACATTTGGGTAAACAAAGTCCTCTTTCTTTCCAACTGGTCTGCTTTTTCTGCCCAAAGCATTCATTGTTGGCACAGTAAGATAACCACCACATCACAATTCATCAACCTGGACACCCTTGTGAGATTTGAAAAAATTAAGGAATTATAACGGGGGCAAATGTAAATGTTTAACTCCCACTCACACAGAGAAAAACACTGGGGATTCTAGTAATGATGGCAAACAACATTCGATAGGATTTTTCACGGAGGCTTCTTGCCAGGACAAAGCTGTATTTTTTCCAACAAAGTAACTTCAGCATTAAAGTAGAAACTTTAAGCATTCATTATATTGTACACTGGTATTTAAAAGACAGTATTGAAAGGGCAGAATGTAAACTGTGCATATGTTATGATTATAGCTTTACAAAATTATATGTATGGTAAAGGACTTTGGTAAAGAAATATAAAAAAAATAAACTTTTGTTTATTAGAATGATGGGGTTATAAGTAACTTCAGCGTAAGAAAAATCCCTTTAACATTACTACAATTTGTTTGGACAGTGGTACCCACGTAAAAAGAGATAGATTTAGGCAAAAGTGTACTCACCGTCAAGCTTTTTAAGCACTGTCTGTGTCACTTAGAATGTTTATAAAATAGAGATAGGTAATCTCTAAGATCCAATAGTTTGAGAATTAGTGTCTGGGTATATTTCTGAGGAAGAACTGGAAATGAATGGTGGTTCATATCCAGACAATTAGGAGTGATACACATAAAATAAAAATGCGTGTATAGCACAAGTAAATACTTAGTAGACACTGCTATGGAGAAGGTCAATCGTGCTGGCCATTCCACTACTGGGATGTAGTGAGTAGATGCTCCTCGATATCCTACAGTGCACAGGAGAGACACCACCCCTCAACAAACAATGTCAGTAGGGCAGAAGCTCAGAAATCCTGCTGTTTCATGCTGGGAAACCTAATATCGTTTTGAAGAGGGAGTGTAATACGATATGGAAAAGACAGGTGTAAGTCAACAGACCCGGGATCTACCGTTCACTTTGCTGTATGACCTTGAGTTTCCGCACCTCAGTTTTCCCATTCATAAATAAATGAAGGTATTGGATTATAACAGTCCTCCCGCCATGAATGTTCTACAATTATAATAAGTACATTCTGGGGCCACAGGACAGCCTTCTTTGAAAGGTATACCCTCAGTGCCATCTGACTGATTCTTACGAGGTCTTTTACTGGCTTCTGCTTGGCCACAGCTGACGGGAAGGGGAAGATGCTACACCTAAGCTGGGCCACTTAGGTGCTTTTTCTTGGGAATTAGAAGTTAAAAATGGCTGGTCCTGGCTGGGCATGTTAGCAAGGATGGGGCGATCATGTACAGTCAGAAGTCACAGAAAACTTGTACAGGGACAAAGGGAGCAGATGTGAAGAAACAAGCAGCACCAAGAGACGAGGAACCTCAGAGAAGCAATGGGTATTAAATCAATTCTTGGTGCAGATTGAACTTCCTGATCCTAGTCTCTCAGGAGTGCCAACTGTACTTCATTCATTCATTCATTCATTCACCAAGTATTGGCTGAGAGCCTCCTGTATTCCAAGCACTATTCTGGGTGCTGGGGTACATTCTTGAACAAAAGGCACAAAGTCCCTGACATCATAGATTTTCCTACTGGAGAAGACAAGACAATGAACAAACAAATATACCCCATAACATCATGGCATAAGAAGGGATAAGAAGAGCTGTAAATCTGGGCAAGGGGACAGACAGTGATAGATGTCGTGGAAGGCTTCTTTGAGCAATCTGAGCAAAGATCTGAATGAAGTGAGCAAACCACCCAGACATGTTGGGGAAGAGCTGCCCAGGCAGAGGGAACAGCAACTGCAGAGAGACTTTGATGGGATTGTGCATGGCAGGAGCAGCTAGTTCATACTCCCTCCTCATTCCAAGTCCCGTCCTCCTCCTGAGAGACTTCACCACGTAGATGCTCCGCCCATCACTCTGCATCCCCCACTTCCAGACCTCTGGTTGAATGATACTTGCCTCCACTCCGCCTCACTTCGGCAGCTCACTACCCTGAGCCTTACTTGACCTCTGAAATCTTAAACTCTAATATGCCACTTTGACCTCAGTCTCCTGGCTGTTAGCCTTCTCATTCCCTTCCTCTCACTCCCCCCATTTTCCTTCCTGAAGACTCCTAATTCCTTAAGTGCTCCCTTTCCTTTTGGTCTCTCATGCTGATCCTTTATTGATTTCCGTCCCTCTCTAAGCTAGATTCTTTCAAGCACAGGCAGTATGCGTAGTGCTTAGAGTGTGGCCTTTGGAGCCGCACTGTCTGTGTTAAAATCCCAGACCTACCATTGATGGGAATCTCCGTTTTCTGGGGACATAATAATAGTAACTTTCTCCATTGCTGTTTTAAGGACTAAATGAGCTAATGTACAGGCAGGGCTTAGAAAAGTAACATGCCATAGAGTAAGCATTTGATAAATATCATGATAATTTTGATGCTATTATCATAATCATTCCTCTGCTCTTCCTGCGACGATTTGAACCTCTATGACTTACATGCTCCTTCTTTGAAACTTCTCTGGAAATCTCAGTCTCTGGATCAATCTAATCATCTACTGTCTTTGCTTTTATTCTTTGGCAGTTGAGGTCTCCTGACATAAACTACTTGACCATGCAGTTTGATGTTGCTATAGACTTAGAGCTTCTGGACTCTGCTTGGTCTACCACCCAGCTTGAAAATCCCTTTACATGAGTCTGGTTGGTTATCTCATTCATTTCCCCATTAGCTATTCTAAACCTTCACCATTCTTTTCAACTCCCCAAGGTGCTCACCCTTTCACCCTTGCTTGACAGTTCTTACATGATCTTCCTAAACACAGCTAAAAATGTAATTACATTCTCACATCTTTCTCTTCAAACTCCTAGGGAGAGGTCTTCTAGTTTCTGTCTTAGACGAGTTATCTACCTATGTTCTAGATAACTTCCCTTCTCATCCCTTTGGAAACCCGTATCTACCAGTTATCTCTTTTCTCTTTCATTTATTTTGGGCCCCAAACATGCTCAAATCTCTCCAGTCTTAACCAAACAAAATAACACCTCTCTGAATGTGGAATCCCCTTCTATCTGTTGTCCCATCTCCTTTCATCTACAGCTAAATGTCTTGACACTGCCAAATGTCCTCTGGGGCAAAACTGACCTTGGTTGAGAACCACTGATTAGAAGATAGGGTGGTATAGGACTTCCCTGGTGGGGCGCAGTGGTTAAGAATCCGCCTGCCAATGCAGGGGACACGGGTTGGAGCCCTGATCCGGGAAGATCCCACATGCCTCGGAGCAACTAAGCCCATGAGCCACAACTACTGAGCCTTCCCGCCTAGAGCCTGTGCTCCGCAACAAGAGAAGCCACTGCGATGAGAAGCCCGCGCACAGCAACGAAGAGTAGCCCCCGCTCGTCGCAACCAGAGAAAGCCTGTGCGCAGCAACAAAGACCCAACGCAGCCAAAAATAAATAAATAAAATAAATAAATTAAAAAAAAAGAAGATAGGACAGTATAAGACAGAGCACCGAGTATGTAACTAAATGTTGCAGAAGTTCTCAAAAGAGGAGCCCATGGTGGCCTCCAGTCCTTTTCATCTACTCCCTGCATTTTTCCTGCCAAACTGTCTTCCAAGACCCCTTGGCAGACAGACAACAAGCATAGCTTGTCTGTACTTCTCCACACTTTCTTCCCTCACCCCTCAGCTCCCTGCAATCTGACTTCTGTCCCTCAGTTGCTTGAAACTTCTCTACGATGGCTTTCTTCCTAATTGCTGAATCCAGTGGACATTTCCTTTCCTGCCTTCCTTACTTGAATTCTCCACAGCACTTTTATGCTATTGACGGCGACTTTTGCCTTGAAACTCTTGCTTTGGCTTCCAAAGAGTTTTGGTTCTCCTCCCACTTCTCCTATAGCATCTTCATCGTCTCCTTTACTAGCGTCCTTTCCCTTTAAATCTTAGTATTCCTCAGGCAAAGTCCCCTCCTCAGTCCCCTTCTTAACACTACTCTTTCCCTAGTGGTGTCCTTTATTCCATGACTTTAACCATCACCGCCATGTTGGTCACTCCTCAGTCCTGCTCTCCAGCAGAGACCCCAATCCCAGGCTCCAGGAGGTAGCCTGCAGTCTCCCGGGCACTTCCTTCTGCATTCCAGTGGCAACACACTTTCAGCAAGTCTATTCTTATCTTTTAGCAGTTCTTTCTTGTGTCTAATTGGATACAAAGTCCTTGAAGATGTCGATCCTTTCTATTCTTTCTTTCAATGATCTGAACATAGCGCAGCACCTAGCACTTAGTAACTGGTACTTGGGAAGAGTCTCTTGAGTAAGGAATGGATGTACTTGTCCTTTTTTCCCTAGTATTGACAGTGGATTTGCCTACTCATGTTTAAAACAGAACTCTTTTTGTTATCCCCAAATTTCTACGTTTCAGGTCTTCTTCTCAGTTAAAGACACTGCTATCTGCTCAACCACTCACCTTCATAACTCAGGATCATTATGATCTCCCCTTTCTCTCATCTTCCATATCCGACCCATAAGCAAGTTATGTTAGCTCTGCTTCAAGCCGCATCCTAAACTTCGCTCTCTGTCACCATCTCTAGCACTACCGCCTTGTCCAAGCCACCAATCTTCTGCTACGATCTTCTGTTTCTTTCTAAGTTTGCTACTGTCCCCCCTACACTTCATAGGGATCTCTCCAAAACATCCATCAGGTTATCTCACTCCCCTCCGTAACAGGCTCCATGACTTCGTTACACTTGTAAAATTGTACCAAGGCACTGCACTGGCCTGTTCCAACCTCTCCCACCCCACCTCCAAATCCAAACCTGACTCCTATCCCCAGCTCCCTTATATGCTCCAGCAAGAGCCCTTTTTGCTGTTCCTCAAATCCACCAAGCTTATTACCCTGGCTGCTCCCTCTGCCTGGAATGCTCTCCTCCCAGATTCTGACATGGCTGGCTCCTTCTCAACCTTTAAATCTCTGCTGAAATGTCTCTTCCTTAGAGAGTTATCCTATGGAAAAAAAAAAAAAACCCTACAGTCATTCTCTAACCCCCATTCGGCTTTATTTTCCTCAGAGCACTATTACTGCCTAAATTTATATTTACTAATTTTTAAATTAACTTTCTGTACTGCTATAATATAAGCTTCATGAAGACAGGGATTTTTTTTTTCCCCTCTCCTGTCCACTGTTGCATCTCCACTGTATAGAATAGTAACTGGCCCACAGTAAACATTCAGCAAATATTTGTTGGGATAATGTGATCCCTATGTCCAAAGGCATATCTTTATTGATTGGTAAAGATTATTGGGTCTGTGAGATAGTATTTCATTAAGAGAAGACAACTTTCTTAAATGGGAACTAGCACAGACCTCTAAAACCTGTACACCTATTAGCTACTGACAAGGACTCCTTCCATGGCCAAACTTAAGTCATACAAATGCACTTGCTGTTACTGACGCTGAGTTCAATCTCTTTCCTATTGCAAGTCTTGATCACTACTGAAATAGTCTTGAATAAAGTCTCCCTTGTCATTTTTAACAAGTGTCTGGTACGATTTCTCTTTAATGCTAGAGACCAAATATTTACCTACTGGGCTTGAATAAATCCACCCAATGAATTTTCATTGTTCCCCACAGAACTTTCATATTTTTTTCTGCAGTGGGAAGAGTCAAAGAGAGGCATTTCTTGCCCCTGTGACTGAAGAATATGGTTTCTCTAGCATATAGGGGAAAAGTCAGGAAGAATAAAGGCTACATGATTTTTTTAATCACTTTTATAGCAGCTATTACTTATTCATTTTGTCACATTTATTTTCAATTGTTCTTGTGGTGACATTTTAATGAATAATACAAAAGCAATGCTCAGTTCAAAATGACACCTTGAACCTCTGAAACAAAAACACGTTCGTTACATAAAAACAATTTGTCGTTCCTCCCCCATCCCCTGCCACATAACCCACATAATTCACATGCAGTCCACTCCTGACTACGCAGCTGACTTGAGATTATATGATCATACCTGCAACATCGAACTCAATTTCCAGTGTGACCTTGCTTGTGATTGAAGAGTCTCGGAGGAGCTGGCTGGCTTCCTCAAAGGTGCTGTCTTCAGTTGGAATTCCATTAATGGCCAACACTCTGTCTCCAATCTGTAGCACCCCACATCTGAATTTAGAACCACACGTTACAGGTCACAGATGGAGTAAATAATTATCCACTTGAAGTTGCCAAGATCCTGGCAAATAGCATTTGGTCTCATTTATTTAATGCTGTGGGCATCCTATTAGGTCAACTGCAATGTCCCACATTCCTTTTTTTTGTAATAAAAGTGTAGTTGATTTACAATATTGTGTTAGTTTCTGGTGTACAGCAAAGTGATTCGGTTATATGCAATGTCCTACATTCTTGCATTTCTTGGCTACAAATGTGAGCAAGGGAATCTTGAAGTACCCCAGAAAAGTAATTAATAATTCAGCACCATGGTATTGTTATAACCTGATCTGAACCAATATATAGTAATGATGAATGTGCATTCCCCCATGGTACAGAAATTATTATGAAGTTTGGACTTCAGAGATTTTTTTAATGGATTTTTTTTCCCTTTTTAATTAATTTAGCCTCTAGTCGCCAATGGACAAAAATCTGCTAAAGGCACTCATGCTCGCTATTCTGTCTCAAACCTGATCAAGAACGTAAAATTTTATTGTCAGAACAGAGTTCGTCACGTCTTGCATTTCCTGCGTTGAGCACTGTTCCATAATTTATTAGCTAGTCAAAGATAGCCAGCGAGAAATGCAGGGCAGACAACGATGCCGTGAAAGAAAATGTCTCACCTCTCTGCCGGGCTGTCAGCTTCAATATAGGAAATCAGAGGTGGAGAGGAGAGGGTCTCTGTGGCAAACACACTGCCCTGCAGTTGAATCCCAAATCCTGTGACAGGATCTGCTGTGAGCACAACCTCTGTGGTTTCTGTGTGAACAACCTGCCCAGCCAAGCCCACTGTACTGGAGGCTAATGACACTAGAGGAACAAACACACACACAAGAAATGACTTTAGATTGGAACAGGCACCAGGAACGCCAGCGTTTCTGAAACAGATCATGTCTCCGGAACAAAAACTCATTGGCAATGGTGGGATGTGAGGTTTTGGTCTTTTAGCATAAAAAGTTTCACCAGAGCTGAATAGGATAGATGAATCTCCCAATATTTGTCACATCTAAGTCACAGCATCAGTGTAGCCCCCTCCTCAGGCCCACCCCTAATAGCAGGGACAGTTGTGGGAGCTGTAGGAAGAGGATGGTCTTGGGGTCAGAGTACCTGGGGTCTAGTCCTGGCTCGACCACTAAGCAACCAGTTGGGTGACCTTGGGGTAAGTCATCTATCTCCTTCCTATCTAGGAAAATGGGGGTTGGGCTTAACTGGTCTAACGTGGTTTTTTTTCCCCCCACTTTAGCCATTTGTACCTAAGGTTCCAGCTTTTACAAACAACTTGACCTTCAGTTTTGAAGAAACAACTGATCCAAGTCTGGCTCCTGGGGTGATGAGGATGTTCTGGTCATCAGCCTAAACGTGGCGTTGGGTTGCCACAATGGAGTCCTTTAAACCCTACATTCCTCCTACCCGCAAATTTGGTCTCTTCAGCTCTTGTTCTTTCCACTGGCTTGCCAGCCTGTTTTGTTATCTCTTATTTCATTCATTTCTCTGATATTCATCCAAGGCCCCAGGCACAAAGCTGTCTAGTTCCCATTCCCGACCTAGGTGGTGAAGAAGCATCCTCCAGGAAAGCCTTCCTCGCAGCGCTGCTCACTGGCACCCGTGCCTCCTTTGCTCTCTGTGAGCAAGCTCTCTGCCTGTAGGGTCCTGCGTTTGACTGCCACTTCCTCCAATAAAGGTCTCTGGCCTCCTTCCTCCAACTGAAACCTGATGACACCATACACCTCAGGACACTCTCCAATCACAAGCTATTTTTCCTCACGCTCCCTGCCTGGGGCAAGGAGAGAGAAGAGTTTAGAATACTCCTTGCTGCCCGTATGCAGTGCTGTTTATCTCAAATCACTCCTATTTCAAGTTCCATATTCTGTATTCATTTCTGCTTTGTCTCATCTTCAGACCCATAGTTTTCTGTTTTTGCAAAGTACATCCATTTCCCCACTGACTTCAGGACTTGGCTGTGAACCTACCTCCTCTAACCCTTCGTCGTCCTCGGCACCTTTGACATCACGGCCGTAATCTCCTAACATGCTGGCTTGATGGTTCTTCATCTCTCTCAATGCCAGTTACTAGAAGTTCCATCCTCCTCCAGTTCTCTGCCAGCAGAGCCCTATGCTGGACCCCATCTTCCTTCAAAGTGGATAGAGCTCCAGGATCTCAATATCTGAATCCTCCTTATTGATCACACGTCCTTATGAGCCATCTTCCCAAGTCCCTACGAGCCATCTTCCCAAGTCCCTACGATCTGACTTTCTCCTCTTTATGACGTCTAGTCCCATTTTCTCTCGCTTGTCTCCTAGTCTAATGGCTTTCAAACAATATTTTTAGCAACGGATATTTCCCCCCTTCATATGAAAGCACGTAAGAGATGCCCTTGTATTCCAGATAAGAACACAGCTACTGCAGGTAGTGAGGTAGGAGCAGAACACTCCAGAAGCTTCTGCCTCCCTCACGTGAGAATCTGGTTTGCAAGCCATCATCTTTCCTCGTTGCCTTTTCTAACATCACGTTCCTCCACACTCCACCTGGACCTCCGGTGACCATTTCAATGATGCCTCTGCTAGTATTCTTACACCTCATGTGATTTTTGTCTCCTCTCACACACCGTACTCTTTGGTAACAGCCAGACACTCCACTGCTGTTACTGAGTTGCTGAAGGGTGCTACAGAAAGTCATGACGAATTCACATTATTCTCTATGGGGCTCTGGAATCTTTTGTGGTGTAATATTTTGTCACCTTATTTGATTCCTCATGGGATTTTTCAGAAATATTTCTACTCTTTTAAGGGTCAAACTTTACTTCCTTTCCTACAAGACTGAAAAGATCCAGCCATTTGACAAGAATTCCTTAAACAACATGCTTCTCAACCTCAGCTTCTCAGTATCATCATTTGCTCTCCCCCTCCACCCCCATTTCAGGAGGATGTACAAGGCTAATTCTTCCTTTCATTATTTTTGATACTATCCCTCCCTTTCCACTCCCTCTGTGATTTTGTGCCACAAAAACTTCTCTCTTGACATTTTTCCTAACTTTCCTACTCACTCCCCTAGCTTTCTGACCTTTCTCTATAGATTTGTACTGATTCCCAAACTGCTTAAAATTGACTTCTCCCTTCACCCTTTGCTATAACTACTCTCGCGAGGATGACTTCCTGATTGCCAAAATCAACGGCCTCGTCCTCTCTAACCACTCTGCAGCAACTGGCTTTGGGAACTATCCCTTTCTTCCTGAAGTGCCTCTCTTACTTTTGATGAAGATTTGTTCTTAGTTTCTTACTTTTCCAGCCCTTACCACTTCCTTTGCCTTCTGCACTCCAAACATAGAGCTGACCACGGTTCTGTCCTAAGTGTTTTCTACTCTCATTCTTTCCCCCATTCACTTCCAGCGCACCTGTAATATGACCTCTCATGTATCTTCTCGTGTCTCCCTCTCTAGACTCTCTCAAGCTCCAGTGATGCATTTCCTTGACGTCCCATCCACAAGGATGTCTCACTGACTCCTCAAACTCAACATCTTCAAATTGAGTTAATCATCTTCTCTCTCTCTTTGCCACCGCTATTTCTATGAACGGGACCATCATGTCGATGGTCCTTCAGGCTTGAAATCTCAAAGTAACCTTTGACTCACAACAGCTCATTGTCTTAAATCCAATCAGTTGCTAAGTTCTCCCAGGATGATGACTAAAATGTATCTTGTATAAATCCTCTTTTCCCTTCTTATTGCCAATGCCTTAATTCAGGCTCTCATTACTTTCATTGCATTCAATTCATATTCCAATTATTCTAATATACCTGTTTCTGGGTCCCCTCATGTCCAGTGCTTTCCGCATATTATTGCCAGATTAACTTTGTTTAAGATGAGGCCCCAACTTCTCTACTCTCCTAGAGTAGAGCCTCATCACTGCTAGTAGAGATTACTACATAGGCTTCCAACCAGTGTCCTTGCCCCTTAACTTTTGCTAACAGCTCCAAATTGCTCCCAAGGGGCTTTTCTACTATGCAAAGGTCACCCCCCAGTTTAGAATCTTTTAATGGCTCCCGATTTCCTAGAGAACAAAATCTCTAATTCTAGCAGGCTACGCAGGATCCTTCATAAGTTCATTTTCTCCTGCCCATCCAGTCTCATGTTCCCTTATGCTCTGTTCCTGAGTCTTTCTTACAAGACTGAAAAGATCCAGCCATTTGAAAAGAATTCCTTAAACAACATTCTTCTCAACCTCAGCTTCTCAGTATCATCATTTGCTCTCCCCTTCCACCCCCATTTCACCTGCTGCAACTAAGGAACCCATGTGCTGCAACCAAGGAGCCCACCTGCTGCAACTAAGATCCAGTGCAATCAAATAAATAAATATCAAAAAAAAAAACAAGGGAAGGGGGTTTCCCTGGTGGCGCAGTGGTTGAGAGTCCGCCTGCCGATGCAGGGGACACGGGTTTGTGCCCCGGTCCGGGAAGATCCCACATGCCGTGGAGCGGCTGGGCCCGTGAGCCATGGCTGCTGAGCCTGCGTATCTGGAGCCTGTGCTCTGCAACGGGAGAGGCCACAACAGTGAGAGGCCCGTGTATCTCAAAAAAACAAAAAAACAAAAAAACAAGGGAAGGGCTAAAGTGGCAGAGGGCACAGCACATACAGAGGTGCAGAGGCATGAGAGCAAGCCTGGAGAACATGACTCAGGAGCAACTAAGCCCGTGCGCCACAACTACTGAGACTGAGCTCTAAAGCCCACGAGCCACAACTACTGAGCCCACGTGCCACAACTACTAAAGCCCGTGTGCCTAGAGCCTGTGCTCCACAACAAAGAGAAGCCATCGCAATGAGAAGCCCACACACCACAACGAAGAGTAGCCCCTGCTTGCCGCAACTAGAGAAAGCCTGTGTGCAGCAACAAAGACCCAACACAGCCAAAAAAAAAACAAACCCAAAAACCAAAAAACTTTAAGATGTGTAAACATCCACCTGAGATAACCAAACAGATTATCATTTATCTGTAGTCACTAATATCCTTAAACAAGACAGCAGTCTTACCTCACACAAACAAATGTTTGGCCATTAAAGCAGAAGTATGAACATGAATGCATCTGTTTTAACTGCTCTTCCCTGCTGAGGGCTGTTAGCCCGTTTTCTCTCAGTAAGCAGTGTTGCACAAGAAGGCATTTTATGTAAAAAATCTCATATAAAAATATCCACCACAAATCCTGAGGCATTAAATGGAAGACTCAACCTATGTATTATGTCAAAGTGGAACCATGTGAAAAATGCCTAAGTTTGAAAGCAGTGTTAACATCTCAGATATAGGCATCATAATAGCAAACACTAGTGCTTACTTCAATAGTGCTTACTATTTAATAAGTATTGTTCTAGCATATATATATTATATATATAGTATATTTATAATTATAGTTCTTATTTCATTGGGTAATTGTGAAGATTATATGAGAATATATCATTGTTCATACATATATATGAACATATCATATATATATATGAATATATAGTCTAGAATGTATTTCTTGTCCTGCACGTTCCTTTCAGTGATGAGAATATACACACACACACACACACACACACACACACACACACACATATACACATCTTCATATAATCTTCACAATTACCCAATAAGGTAAATACTATAATTAGCCCCACTTTGTAGCTAAGAAGGCCAAGGTACAGAGAGCTTAGAAAATCTGCTCAAGGTCCTAGAGCTAGAAATTAATGACACTGGGATGAGAACCCACACAACCTGGTTCCAGAGGCTATGCTCATAACCAGTTCACTCTGTTGCCTTCAACTCATTTCTTCCATGAGTAAATAATTTGCTCTCTCGAGTCAGCTAAGAAACATATGAGGCTCTAGAAGTTCCTTGTTCTCAGTCTTCCTTCTATTTACCTATACTAAAGATGACAAATCTTCTATTTGAAGGGATATGCACGTCAATATCATGAATACACCACAGTGGAGGTTTGCGATGGTTTTCCTTGTAAGGAAACCTCAGGTTCTTATAACATGAAGAGACCATGTCCCAGTGTGGGTGATGGCTTGTCTCCTACACTGATGGTGGCATTGGTAGGCCTGGCCACAGACCCACCTCTGAAGACGAATCTCTGGCAAAGCAGCTGCAGAGCCAATAGATCCAACCACCCTTCCTCACAAGAACATTTTCTCTTTAACACCAGTCTTGAAGTACCTGGGTTTGGTTTTGTTTAGGTAACTTAAGAGTGGTCCTTACTTTATCCCCATGGTAAGCACAGGAAGAGATCCCATCTTCTTTGAGCTTCTTTACGGGAATCACAATCATGGCCACCAAAAAAACCAAGAAATACTCACACCTCTCTAGACTATGATTAGATCTGGTTGGAGAGATAGGTGTTCTCTTCCTTTAAAACTTATGTGATTATGATGAGAGATTATATTCTGCCCTCCCGTCACCACAAAAGAAAAATTTAGGAGTGCTGTGTTTCTTCCCTTCTTCCCTAAGACATCCAACCACCCTTTTCTTGTTTACACGTACAACCAGCTATCCAGAAACAAGCAGCCAACCACATTTTCCTAGTCTTGCCTAATCTATAATGTGCTTGGCTGTCCCAGAAGATCGTATTTCTAAGAATCACGGTCGAAATTCCTGGACCTTAGGATGCTTGTTGTAAAGACGAGCATCCTTCAATCTTCCTGATGCTGGAGTGAGTAACAGACATATATGTTAGGGCAGAGATTTTCAGTGCGGCACGTTCCTGGGGAAAGTATTAGAATCTTGGGGAGTGAAATACAGTTTGAAAAGGCACATTCAAGGGGAATGAGATATAGTTTGAAAACGCATGTTTAAACTTATCATTGCCTTTCTTGTAGGGGGAGGTTCATGAAATATAATTTAGTATGAAATTTATAGTAATATTAAACAACTGCATGGAACCCTTATATTTATCAAAAGGGGGACCTAGTTTTAAAAAACTGCTTTAGAGTGAATAAGAAACTAAGAACAAAGATTTCATGTCCAAAACTACCCAGAATATAAGGAAGGAGTCTTAAAGAAAAAAAATCACATCTTTGGTTATTTTATCAGATCAAAAGAGCAAGAAAAAGATCTCAAAAACAAAAGTTGTAGGCAAAGGTAGAATGAACTAACAAATTCAGTCTGAAACCGTATTTGGTGCAATCATTACCTTGTCGATAAGAGAGATCATTTCAACGGTCTTTGGCGCAGGGCTGCGAGCTGCTTAGCGTCTACCTGTGAAACACTCTTCCTGAAGGTTTCCTTATATCCAAGACTCCAACAGACCCACCCGTTTCCTCCAGGCCAAAAGTCATTGGCTAACATTTCACTTACGTGAGCTTTTGAAGTCTTTCTTTTTCAACCTCCTCCTCATCATGGTTCCACGTGGGCTAGTGGAGTAGAGGCTTCGAGGCAAAGTCCCCATGTTCAGGGAACTCAGGCTGTATGCACTCGTGGAGGTAGGAGAGAAGGATGAAGACAAAGCTGCTGTAAAAGAGTGAGGACTTGGCACAGAGCATTCTCAGGTGGGGTGTGAGCCTGCCACACCTGCCAACCAGCAACAATATAGAAAGACACACAAGAGGCACAGCAATGGCTAGTAGGTACCCCAACCAATAAGAGACCAGATCCCAGGAGCCATGGAGACAGCGCTTTAGAATCTGAGTTACAAGGGCCCGGAAATGCCTGAGGAGCAGCACTGATCTTCATAAGTATAATGCAACACGGAGAGGCTCTATGAATTTTGCTTTAGACAAAAAAGTAAACATTAAAACAAGTTTCTCCATAAACAACAATTCAATGCACCAAATACATAACCTCATTTTCAGATATTTTCTGACATGAATTTCACAAGTGGCTCCACATACACAAATAAGGTCTGAGAACACTGTACTGTATATACTATTCTGCATTGGTATTTCCTGACCACACAGAAAGCATTCGGAACCTTTACGTCCTTTCCTAACAACAAATGCTTTCTGATGGAAAAGAAGGACTTAAGAGATGACAGAAATGTTAAGTTGCTACTACATAAAGAAAAGCACACCACACCCATGAAACCAAAAATGGTATGAATCAGATGAGGAAGGGGTGAGAAGAATATAATTTAAGTAAAAGACCAGGAGGCGAAAGCCTGGAACATTACGAGGGCTGTTTGGAGGAGGTGCTTTCGTGAATGTCAGGGCTGGCGCTCTGCAATGGTCTGGGTGGTACGTATTATAGTGATGGTAGGTGTGAAGACTGCAGTGGTCGCTGGCCCAGGGATCCCAGGGAGGTTGCCTGTCGCTCCTCTGAATTTTCACTGCCCATATGAAGTGATGATGAGAAATAAAAACAAACAAACAAACAAAGAACCAAAAAAAAAAAAAAGAGGAAAAAGTAACTTGCATTGCACAAATAAAAAGTGTAACAAAACAATGAAAGCTGCTTGCAAAAAAAAAAAAAAAATATTGACTTTGCCCTTTTCTTAGTGGTCAGCAAAACTGATGATCAACATCAGGGATGGCAACTTTTCATCTTCGCAAGAATAATGCACGTCTTTCCCCAGCCCATTTTTTTCTCCTTTTAAGATGACTATTGAATCCATTTCTAATCTCCCCCTGTGCTTCACAGCAGAGATTAAAAACATTTTTTTTTAAACTTAAAAGTCAACCCCACAAAGATCTATGGCACAAGATTAGTGATTAAAGATTTGCAAATCTCGGCCAGTTAGTAGCACTTGTTTTGAGAAAAAGGAAAGAAGGAACGATAAATCACACTGGCTCCTGATTCAAGGGGTTTACTAGTCACACATCACAATTTACTGCTGTGACATTTTAATTACACTACTATTCATCACTTGAACTTGATTTTTCTCAACAATAAACCACTCTAATCATTTATCATTATCAGGATCTTATTTATACTCTAATCAGAAGATAAAAGTCTCAATATATTTTATAATTTTGGGGGTATTTTTAAAAGATGTGTTTACATTTGAAAGAGATATTTAATTATTAAAGTATTTCAAATACTTTATATTTCCTTAAGATGCCATGAAATTTTAATAAAGTCAATTTCAAAATTCTGGTGTCCCCTTTATTTTCAAAAAATTGTGTATCATATTTCCATTCTAATTTCAATATTGTTTAGATTTGATTTTCTACCCAGTGTTCGGAAATACGAGCACTTTTATGTTTGTTACTATATTGACATGAAATTTTTCATTTAAGTATCTTAAAAAATGAAAAATAAAATATGAACTTTTATCTCCTACTGTTACGATTCTAAGGTTAGATGCCTTACATGTGAATGACTTTGCAGTATCTATTCATGTAGTGAGGTCAAATACTCTGTAAGTATTTAAAGGAGGGTTATTTACCTAAGAGTTTAGATTATACCATCCGTGATATCAGTCTCACTGGCCACTTCACAGCCTTTCTGGAATGAGACAGTAAATGGAACAAAAGCACTAGTGTGGACAGATCACCATGGGCTGAGGCCAAGCTGAGTTTCTGTTCCGGCTCCAGCCCATCTTCTGTATGTGACCCTGGCCAGTTACGAGGCCTCAGTTTCCTCATATGTCGAGTGGAGATCATGGAAGCATCTACTGCACAGGCCAACTGTGAGAAGTACCTAAGGTGCTTAGCATGACGCTCGTACACAGAATAAAATCCAGTGACCCTTTATTAATAGCATTGATTCTGTCTACTTTCTATCTACTTGCCAATGAATCATTTTTAAAGGAAATAGATGTATCTCTCACTCAACAGATTTCACTCATCGGGCACTTAAGTTTAGAGAATATTTCAGGAATCGGCAGCACACTTTTCTGGCCACCATAATTTTGTAACCCTAAACCATCTGGCCCTTTCCTTCTATCCGCTGCTGTTTCTAGTCTGGGTTCCATCTCCCTCTCCGCTATTCTACTTTCAAGCCACCATCTCCTTCACCTAGATCACTTCCTCATCTTCAGACTTGGCTCCCTGGTTCATCTCTGTATCCACAATACGGAATGATCTTTCAAATATATAAGTTAGATCATGTAACTCCCATTTAAGGTACTTCAATGGGTTACAATTACAAACAGAATCAAAAGTGAGTCCTGGGCTTCCCTGGTGGCGCAGTGGTTGAGAGTCTGCCTGCCGGTGCAGGGGGCACGAAGATCCCACATGCCGCGGAGCGTCTGGGTCCGTGAGCCATGGCCGCTGAGCCTGCGCGTCCGGAGCCTGTGCTCCGCAACGGGAGAGGCCACGACAGTGAGAGGCCCGCGTACCGCAAAAAAAAAAAAGTGCGTCCTCCTTCTCTCTCCAGCCTCATCCCCTAGCACTCTCCTCATCACTGCCTGTCTCAGCCATGTTGGTCTTTTGTCTTGTCCTAGAACAAGCCAGGCTGCTTCCTGCCTCAGGGCATTTGCACTTCCTGTTTTCCTACCTCTAATATTCTTCTCCCCCTTGTTTTCATGGCTGGCTTCTTGCTATCATTCAGGTCTCAGCTCAGGTACCACCACCTCAGAGTTGTTCTGACCTCCTTGGATGAAGTAGCTGCCCTCTCCCATCCATGCTATCCCACTGCTGTTTTATGTTCTTCATACCACTTATTACTGTCTGAAATGGCTTTATTTATTTAATATACTTTTAATGTTTGTCCCTCTATACTGGAATGTAAATTCCATGAGACTAGGAATCACTTTGCTTGTCTTGCTCACTAGATGTATCATGGCAACTAGAACAGTGTCTGGTATATAATGACTGATGAATGAGTGAATGAATGAGTGAATGGATGCATGCATGAAGGAACAGGAGGTCCATGTCCACACTGTCCACACTGCAGCAGCAGTTTCCTTGGGATAAAGAGCACTGCCCAGGAAGTCCCTGATGGATTCTCTTTCACCGTCTGCATTCCACTTTAGGGTGTACCAGAAGACTTTTTAGCAAGATGCAGTCATTGCTGGGTCTGGCTAATCTACCCACAGCCATTCTACTGAGCTCTGTAAAATATTGTCAAATGAGGTACAGTGAGTGAACTTCAGAATTCTACACTCACTTTTCAACCCAGTTCTTTATGGAGTGCTTTGAAAATTACTGGGCATTTTTGATTACCGTCAAGCCCAATTGATAACACAATAAGAAAGCTATTGAGCACCTATTGTATGCCTGGCACTGTGCCATTTGTCGCAGGCAGGTTAAATGTAGGTCATAACATTTACTTCGACTTTGAACTACTACTGGGGACTAAATCTTCATACACATAAAATAATTGAGACAAAAATTATATTCGATAATGCAAAAAACTGCATGCCATGGATAATGAAGGCAAAAGGTGTTCAACAAACAATGTAGGCCAGAGAAGACAGCTATAGCCTATTTTGAACGTGCACTGTAAATCTCTTCTGTTTTATGGTGGTGTACTTAATACTCATATGTTAGGCAAGTATTTTAGTTTAAAAATTAGATGGTGCTTTTTTTTTTTTTGTGGTACGCAGGCCTCTCACCGTTGTGGCCTCTCCCGCTGTGGAGCACAGGCTCCGGACATGTAGGCTCAGCGGCCCTGGCTCACAGGCCCAGCTGCTCTGCAGCACGTGGGATCCTCCTGGACCGGGGCACGAACCCGTGTCCCCTGCATCGGCAGGCGGACTCTCAACCACTGCGCCACTAGGGAAGCCCTAGATGGTACATTTTTGGCATGCTCTTTCATATTGCAAAAAACATTCATGTATATTCTCCCATTTAATGGTCCCCATAATAACAGTCAGCTTTCACTGAGTACTCGCTATATACCAGGCACTGTGCTAAGTGCTTTTACATGGATTATCTCAGATAATACTCACGATATACCTATAAGGTAGGTATTATTATAATACCCATTTTACAGATGAAGAAACTGAGGTATAGAAAAGTTGGGTAACTTGCTAAGTTCCCAAGTGGTGGAGCCAGAATTAAAGTGCTGAAAGTCTGACTCTGAGTTGCTGCCCTCAGCCACCATACTCTACTGCCTCTTCCTATGTGTGTTCCTAAGTCCTTTGTTACAGATAAACAGCAAGGAAAATATAACGTTTTTCCTATCATTCCAAGGTGACATCGCTGTTGAAATCTTGAGGTATCTGATATGGAAGGTACTTCTGTTTGTTCACTTCTCTAACTGTACCCTCTTGTCCTGTCCAGGAGTCCAAGGGTGTAGGCAACAGCTACTCTGGTGGTTGCTCCTGGGGCTCAGAAATGGAAGTCCTCCTGGTACTGAATGTATATAGAACCTCATGACTCTGCTCACATTTTCTTTTCCAAACTCTTTTACAAAGTTTCCTCCAGTCATGACTATGTCTCCCAAAGACCCTCAGTGGGAACAATTTCTGAGGTCTTTAAAAAACTCATTCTTGTTGGCTTTTTGAATGTTGCTACTTCCCAGCAAAAGGCACAGTTAATCTATTCCTGGTTGATGTGCCCATTTCTATATTTCCCTGAATGCTATATTTTCCTGAATGCTTTGTTGCTAAGCAAAATCTGGGAAATGTTATATCTCCATCCACCTATGGGATGAGAGACAGGCTGTTTAGGGATCAGAGATTTTGAAAAAATAACCAGAACTTTCTTGTAGTAAAAGGGTAAACCTATGCAAAACAACACCACTACATACCAAAACAGAAGTTTGAGAATTATAAACACAATCACATTTATGAGGATTAATGGGGATCTAATTATGTTTAATTAAATTTCTTCTTGGAAATAGAAGTCTGATTTTAATGTAAAATGTAGGGAGATGTCTGTATGTTAGATAAAGAAGATGGTGAACAATTTTCAACAAAAGTGGATGACAGGGTCAAAAACAGAAGCTAGAATTACTAAAATGACCAGCCCTTTACCCCCCTGCAAAATCACAAATGATGTCAGGTTTTCCACAGTGAAGAAAAGAAAAATTAATTTTTGGTCTCCATCCATTTTAGTATATAAATTCATCTTCTCGGACTGTCTTGGCAGGTAAAAATATTTAATATTTCATGAGTGGAAACTATTTGAACTATTTATGATTTGTATACAGGGCAAATAAAAGGTGGGAAAAATGAGGTTGCTGAAGACAATGAAATTTTTATAGGGTCTGTTCACTTTCCTGATTCATTGATACCAGAATTTACCAGGCAAAATCTCATGCTGAAAAAGCACTAGGCAGTGTGCACTGTTGTGCCCACTGTGCTCCAAATCCAGTGGCGACTTCAGATTAATTTAGAAGAAACTTAATGATTTTAGAAATCTCCCTTCTCAGCCAGTGAGCGGGAAAGGCCCGCATGGCCCCTTGACGGGAAGGGAACGTTCCCATGAACTGCACCCCCTTATCGTTTCCATTCATATGAGGCAGAATTTCATAAACTGCCTCGGCTGCCTCATTTCTCCAACTCCAATGTGTAAAATTAAAATCTGATAAAGAGAATGCTGTACTGGAGGTTTTCATTAGCTCCAGGGCTGTCTAAGCTCCATTTAATTAAAAAAGGTTGCATCCAGCTGATTCATTCAGTATGAAAATTATTTGGTACCTCTTTTTTTCCTAAACTGTGGAAAAGTGCAGTGTGTTTTAGAAGGTTGGAGACATAGGATACAAATGACCTCCTCATAAGCAAAATTTCGGTTCCGGAGAAAATTCTTCTCTTGCTAACTAAACATACAGAAATGTGTTCTTCGCCTTTAGGGAACCCTGATAGTATTAGTGAGGCTTCGAGGAATTGGTTTCAAAGAATAAAAATGGAGGGTGCTTGGTTTAAGGAAAAGGAGGGAGGAGGGTTGGAACAAAGACCTCACTGGAGAGTCTTTCTTCATTTGATTTTGGGCTCAAAGTCCTTTTTCTTGCACTGGGTTTTATTTAAAGATGCCTAGGTGGGATGGTATATAAATGTTCAGCGAGCAGATCTGTGAGCTTCAAGACAGTGAAAATGCAGATTCCCTCAGCTGACACTTGTTACTGCATAACTGTAGTGAAATATTCTGATACTCCCAGGAGAAATATTTGGTCAGAAAGGTTGTTCTCCATCCTAAGAAAAAAACTACTCTGGCGAACAGACAAAATCTAGAGAAAGTCATCCCTCATGCAACTCTTCCCACCCACCTCCCCCAATATTTGAAGGGTCTGGCATGATACCCACTTTAGTTTTGAAAACTGGGAGCTTTACTATTTGCCTTTACTGTCCTTTAAGCAGAGTGGAAATTCAATATGAATAACAAGAAGTCAAATTATTTCCCTTCTCTCCACACTCAATTTGCACCAAAGGCTTTAAAAAAAAAAATCAAATAGTACAAGCCTGAAAATTCTATTTCAAACAACGTTTCTTTCCTCAATTTGGGGGTTTCAAGTAAAATACCTGTGGCTTAGGAAAAGGGATTTGGAAGATGAAGGGTAAACAAAGATCACCTGTTGTTTTGAAAAGAAATGACAGAGGCAGAATTAAACTCAGCGTCTCCCTGCTTTCTAACTCTGCTGGAGAAGCAATCATTGCAAGGGGAGGACAACAGAGATTTATCCAGATGGATCCTCTCACCATGGTCAGGTCCCTTCAGGGCCAGGCGGGTCTGATGATGGGGAAGAATCTCAAGCTTGACCTGGTCGGTGGCGTTGGCCAGGAACTGGGTTGCTTCTGCGAGCGTACAGTACTCCATGCTGGTCCCGTCAATGGACAGGATGTGATCGCCCACATGCAGAGCACCACATCTACGGAAGGGAGAAAGTCTCACTACAATGGCGTGCCGGCCTCCCTGGATTCCAACTTTCACGTCCTCATAGTTAAAACTTCACACAGTTTTCACTTACTTAAGAAAAAAAAGGAATCGTTTGGATGTTATAGGAAACACCACCTCTCAGATGTTAAGTTCCTTGGATAAGAAGAGGAATGTAAAACCTTGTAGAATATAGAGAAAAACTCAAGGAGATGTTTTTCTTTTGTCCTTCATAAAAAATATATTATTTAGGGGGTGGTGATGCTGCAAGTTGAGGGGAAGTGAGCAGGAAGGAGGGAAGAACAGGAAAATATTTCCCCTTGACTTTTTTCTATGATTTTTCCTCATAGGTTTTTATATCTGTGAGTTGGTAAACATTCAGAATGTTAAGATGTGACTCACAGAATGGGAATAGGGTCATTTACAACTATTTTCTGCGTTAGTGGCAATAACTTGGGGAAAGATTCAGCCAGTGCTTGCTCAGAATTGTCTCACTCAAGCTCCCAGATCACCAGTGCTTGATTACTCTGTTTTATTTTGTTCTTCTGGAGTTAAACAAAACAATTATTAGTACAAAAGCTCTTGATGATGATGGAAATTATGCAGAAGTCAAAGAGTAGTCAGAGGAGGCCTTCGTGGGGAGTGGAGCACGGGAGTAGCTGGGATGGGGGAGGGGCTGGCTGCTACATCTTGCTGAACTCAAGAGACTGGCTACTGGATGAGTTGAGAACAGCAAACACAGCAGTCAGCATCCCGAGGTACCAGTCAAGTGGACAGCTGCTTAAACTGCTTACCTGCTGCGAAATGGGAAAGAAACAGGGAGAAAATGAAAGCATCCTGCACCTTTGAATGGGAGAGTACCCGTGGGTCAATGGCCATTACTGTTAAAGGGCTGAATGTAGGTAACAGCACAGTGGAGCTGTAGATTGACCACTACAGGGGTGGCCACAGGTGCATCGGAGTCAGAGGTTCCCCAGGCAGGGCCAGGGCCTGGGCAGAAGAGGGCTGGAAACATGAAGGGAGATTGGGTAGTCAAGTATTGGGTTGGCCAAAAAGTCCGTTCAGGTTTTTTTGTAAGATCTTATGGAAAAACCCAGATGAACGTTTCGGCCAGCCCAATAGATTTAAACATTTCCAAGGTGACCAGGGTCTACTTCTCAAGACAAAAGCATTTCAAGTGATCTAAAAATAAAATTCCACGTGGATGCACTTGGAGTGCTTCAGCTATGAGCTGGGGGTTTTCTTACCAGAAGCTGTGAAATAATTTATTAGGTGGTAAGGTAGTCTTTTTTTCCCCTTCTTGTAAGTCTAAAATACTAATTAGGAAGAAGAGTTCAGGATAAAAGTCTTGCGTTTTTATTGTCATGGGAATGAATGATGTTGTCGGGGACCCTTGAAAATGGTGAAACCGTAAGACTAACATACTATGACGGTAGAGGGCCTTTCTTTCAAGATTGTATCATTTTAAGAATGTTGTTTTATTTATTTCAGAAAAAAGGAATAAGATTGTATGGTGGCAGGATTAACTGTTCACATAATAAAGATCTGCTTAGCTACCCTAAACCAAAAACGGGCTATTACCCTAGGACACAGTAGGTAAATATGCTGAGTTGCTTGACTTTTTTTCCCATTTCTAAAGGCCACACCAAACATTTGGGTGAAGCAACATTACATGATGGGGTGGCTGATAAGGTAGGTGAATTTTTAAGCGCTAGAACAGTAACTTGTTTTGTATATGAAGCTTGCATAAACTGGTAGAAGAGCTCTTTACTGTGTGTGTATATGTGTAGGTATTACATATGTGCATGTATATACACATATAAATATATCTCTACATATTTTAACACACATGCAGTTTTGAAGAGTAGGCACTTTCTACGACACTCACCTGTCTGCGATACTTGCAGATTTGATTTTGTCTATGACAATGACCTGTTTGTTACAGCACATCGAGGTAGTCAGGGCCACACCAAGGCTGGCACCAGGAGTTTTGGCAACTTCTACTAGTAGTGGTCCGGATGCTGTCGCCACAGAATCTATGGAAGAACAAATTTCAGAAAATAAAAAAAAACAGAATAAATAATCAAACAGACACATGAAAAAGGTGGAGAATGTTGAGTCTGATGTTGATCTGTTAACGTTATCACCGAAACTTAGATTTCCCTCCGTGTACTATCCCCACGTCCAGTGTGTGGTAACTTCTTAGGGCATCTTTTAGGACACCCGTTCTATCGAGCTTGTATTACGGTAATATGTGCACGGGTTTATCTCTTCAATTAACACTTAAGCTTCACGTCAGCTGGGATGATGTCTTGTGTACCTTTATGCCCTCTCCATCACTAGGCACAGTGCCTGGCACATACTGGGTCTCTTGAGAAAAGTTTAAAAAATTAATTAACTCAATAAACATCTTAGCACCTACTATGGATGGATGGATGGATGGACGGATGGATGGATGGATGGATGGGAAGGAAGGGTGAATTGATGATGTCTCTAAGTAGGCCAATAGTAGGAAGGCATACACTAACTTAAATATGTAAATCCTCTGGGTTATCCCTATTCTGGATCTGATCTAGGGTCACCTCTCCCTCAGAAGCATCTCCACACAAGCTTTATTTTTAGCTGGGAACTCTCTTCATTCCATCAACTGGTACTTACCCTTGGGGATGTAAAGATCAATTCCTCTGGGAAGCCTCTCCTGACCTGTGATTTGGTGAGATCCTTTTCTCCTGTGCTCCCACAGCCTGCTATTATCCTGCTGTTGTCGCACACACCTCACTCATTCTTAATGACTAGTGTGGATGACGTGCCTCTGTCCTTTGCCAGATGGCAAGCTTGCTGTGAAGGCAGAGCATATGTCTGGTCCATCACAGCATCCACAGTGCCCAGCATAATGACTGGCACACAGAGGTTGTGCAATAAATAGTTGTTGAATGAATGTATGAATAAATGAACAAACTCATTACGTCATTTAAAGCTTAGAAGAGGCAGAGGTCACACGGGAAAGAGGCCTGGACATGGATTTATAACACCTGTACTTACTTCTTCTTTTCTCAATATTTTGTGTAAAAGAAGATATCATGGTATCATAGACTAGTTACTAAAATTTTCTAAGTCTGCTTGCTTACCTAGAAAATGGTACCTTTTCCTCAGCATTTACTACAATGGAAATCAATGTATAGTTAAAGCATTTTGTAATTTATATAGTGCTATACACATAGATTATTATTATTATTATTATTGATATATTATGACCTCAAGCCTTTGAGTTATCTCACTTTTCAAGACTGTATATTTTTGGTAGTTATTTTTTTTAACATCTTTATTGTAGTATAATTGCTTTACAATGTTGTGTTAGTTTCTGCTGTATAACAAAGTGAATCAGCTATATGTATACATATCCCCATATCCCCTTCTTCTTGCGTCTCCCTTCCACCCTCCCTATCCCACCCCTCTAGGTGGTCACAAAGCACTGAGCTGATCTCCCTGTGCTATGCAGCTGCTTCCCACTAGCTATCTATTTTACATTTGGTAGTGTATATATGTCCATGCCTCTTTCTCACTTCGTCCCAGTCTACCCTTCCCCCTTCCTGTGTCCTCAAGTCCGTTCTCTATGTCTGCGTTTTTATTCCTGTCCTGCCCCTAGGTTCTTCAGAACCTTTTTTTCTTTTTTAGATTCCATATATATGTTTTAGCATACGGTATTTGTTTTTCTCTTACTGACTTACTTCACACTGTATGATTGACTCTAGGTCCATGCACCTCACTACAAATAACTCAATTTCATTTCTTTTTATGGCTGAGTAATATTCCACTGTATATATGTGCCACATCTTCTTTATACATTCATCTGTCGATGGACACTTAGGATGCTTCCATGTCTTGGCTATTGTAAATACAGCTGCAATGAACATTGTGGCACATGACTCTTTTTGAATTATGGTTTCTCAGGGTATATGCCCAGTAGTGGGATTGCTGGGTCGTATGGCAGTTTTATTTTTAGTTTTTTAAGGAAACTCCATACTGTTCTCCATAGGGACTGTATCAATTTACACTCCCACCAACAGTGCAAGAGGGTTCCCTTCTCTCCACACCCTCTCCAGCATTTATTGTCTGTAGATTTTTTGATGATGGCCATTCTGACTGGTGTGAGGTGATAACTCATTGTAGTTTTGATTTGCATTTCCCTAACGATTAGTGATGTTGAGCATCCTTTCATGTGTTTGTTGGCAATCTGTATACCTTCTTTGGAGAAATGTCGATTTAGGTCTTCTGCCAATTTTTGGATTGGGTTGTTTGTTTTTTTGATATTGAGCTGCATGAGCTACTTGTATATTTTGGAGATAAATCCTTTGTCAGTTGCTTCATTTGCAACTATTTTCTCCCACTCTGAGTGTTGTCTTTTCATCTTGTTTATGGGTTCCTTTGCTGTGAAAAAGCTTTTAAGTTTCACTGGGTCCCATTTGTTTATTTTTGTTTTTATTTCCATTTCTCTAGGAGGTGGGTCAAAAAGGATCTTGCTGTGATTTATGTCATAGGGTGTTCTGTCTATGTTTTCCTCTAAGAGTTTGATAGTATCTGGCCTTACATTTAGGTCTTTAATCCATTTTGAGTTTATTTTTGTGTATGGTATTAGGGAGTGTTCTAATTTCATTCTTTTACATGTAGCTGTCCAGTTTTCCCAGCACCACTTATTGAAGAGGCTGCCTTTTCTCCATTGTATATTCTTGCCTCCTTTATCAAAGATAAGGTGACCATATGTGCGGGGGTTTACCTCTGGGCTTTCTGTCCTATTCATCTATATTTCTGTTTTTTGTGCCAGTACCATACTGTCTTGATTACTGTAGATTTGTAGTATAGTCTCAAGTCAGGGAGCCTGATTCCTCCAGCTCCATTTTTCTTTCTCAAGATTGTTTGGATATTCGGGGTCTTTTGTGTTTCCATACAAATTGTGCAATTTTTGTTCTAGTTCTGTGAAAAATGCCATTGGTAGTTTGATAGGGATTGCATTGAATCTGTAGATTGCTTTGGGTAGTATAGTCATTTTCACAACGTTGATTCTTCCAATTCAAGAACATGGTATATCTCTCCATCTGTTTGTATCATCTTTAATTTCTTTCATCAGTGTCTTATATAGTTTTCTGTATACAGGTCTTTCGTCTCCTTTGATAGGTTTATTCCTAGGTATTTTATTCTTTTTTTTGCAATGGTAAATGGGACTGTTTCCTTAATTTCTCTTTCAGATTTGTCATCATTAGTGTATAGGAATGCAAGAGATTTCTGTGCATTAATTTTATATCCTGCCACTTCACCAAATTCATTGATTAGCTCTAGTAGTTTTCTGGTAGCATTTTTAGGATTCTCTATGTATACTATCACGTCACCTGCAAAAGGTGACAGTTTTATTTCTTGTTTTACAATTTGGATTCCTTTTATTTATTTTTTGTCTCTGATTGCTGTGGTCAAAACTTCCAAAACTATGTTGAATAATAGTGGTGAGAGTGGGCAACCTTGTCTTCCTCCTGATCATAGTGAAAATGGTTTCAGTTTTTCACCACTGAGAACGATGTTGGCTGTAGGTTTGTCATATATGGCCTTTATTATGTTGAGGCAGGTTCCCTCTATGCCTACTTTCTGAAGGGTTTTTATCATAAATGGGTGTTTAATTTTGTCAAAAGCTTTTTCTGCATCTATTGAGATGATCATATGGCTTTTCTCCTTCAATTTGTTAATACAGTGTATCACACTGATTGATTTGCGTATATTGAAGAATCATTACATTCCTGGGATAAACCCCACTTGATCATGGTGTATGATCCTTTTAATGTGTTGTTGGATACTGTTTGCTAGTATTTTGTTGAGGATTTTTGCATCTATGTTCATCAGTGATATTGGCCTGTTGTTTTCTTTTTTGTGTGACATCTTTGTCTGGTTTTGGTATCTGGGTGATGGTGGTCTCGTAGAATGAGTTTGGGAGTGTTCCTCCCTCTGCTATATTTTGGAAGATTTTGAGAAGGATAGGTGTTAGCTCTTTTCTAAATATTTGATAGAATTCGCCTGTGAAGCCATCTGGTCCTGGGCTTTTGTTTGTTGGAAGATTTTTAATCACAGTTTCAATTTCAGTGCTTGTGACTGGTCTGTTTATATTTTCTATTTCTTCCTGGTTCAGTCTCAGAAGGTTGTTCTTTTCTAAGAATTTGTACATTTCTTCCAGGTTGTCCATTTTATTGGCATATAGTTGCTTGTAGTAATCTCTCATGATCCTTTGTATTTCTGCAGTGCCAGTTGTCACTTCCCCTTATTCATTTCTAATTCTATTGATTTGAGTCTTTTCCCTTTTTTCTGGATGAGGTTGGCTAATGGTTTATAAGTTCTGTTTATATTCTCAAAGAACCAGCTTTTAGTTGTATTTATCTTGGCTAATGTTTCCTTCATTTCATTTTCATTTATTTCTGATCTGATCTTTATGATTTCTTTCCTTCTGCTAACTTTGGATTTTTTTTGTTCTTCTTTCTCTAATTGCTTTAGGTGTAAGGTTGGGTTGTTTATTTGAGATGTTTCTTGAGGTAGGATTGTATTGCTATAAACTTCCCTCTTAGAATTGCTTTTGCTGCATCCCATTGGTTTTGGGTCATTGTGTTTTCATTGTTTCTAGGTATTTTTTGATTTCTAGTCTTATAACGTTGTGGTCAGAAAAGACACTTGATACGATTTCAATTTTTTTAAATTTACCAAGGCTTGACTTGTGACCCAAGATATGGTCTCTCCTGGAAAATGTTCCATGAGCACTTGAGAAGAAAGTGTATTCTGTTGTTTTTGGATGGAATATCCTATAAATATCAATTAAGTCCATCTTGTTTAATATGTCTTTTTAGGCTGTGTTTCTTTGTTTATTTTCATTTTGGATTATCTGTCCATTGGTGAAAGTGGGGTGTTAAAGTCCCCTACTATGAATGTGTTACTGTCGATTTCCCCTTTTATGGCTGTTAGCATTTGCCTTATGTATTGTGGTGATCCTGTGTTGGGTGCATAAATATTTA